AAATTGTCCAGGACAATCTTACGGCCGGGCTCCAGTCAGCACAACAAGCATCCCCTTCTGAGGTTCCAGCCAAGCAGTTTATGAGTAACTTGATTAAGAGCATGGTGGAAGAAGCACACAGGGACGCAATCACTTGCCAGGTCAATGTCCAGCCATTGACAACGCAAAGAAATGCCGAGTAGGCTTGCACGATGAACTGTGGGATGTCCTCGAAGGATTGGGTGATGACGCCAAGCTCCTTGAGCTCGCGGCTGGTAACTTGTATCTCATGCGCTTCCCCTGGGTGTTCGATGTCTATCTGGGTGGCAAGGAAGCTGCAAACCACTTCCGGGTTGGTACAGGCCAGCAACCGGCAGATGTGCCACTGTAGCGGTGCCTTCTTGAGCATCCGTTGGAAGAGCCGCTCATGTTTGTTACGCACTCTCCTGAAGACCAAGCAGTTCACCAAGCCTGAAACGCAGAGAAGAAGGGCGCCGATGTATCCCAAGTTGTGCAGTTGCGTCTGACGCGCATGGGCATTCGCTTGCGCCGCCCAGATGTCAGAGATGAAATCGTAAACACAAAAAACCTGGTCATGCAATGCAGCGGCATCGATCCAAAGGCAGTTTGAAACGACAGATCGAACAACTCAGGTCCTGGCGCACAGGGTATACTCCTTCACCAAGATCCAAACAGAGGGCGCGACAACCAGGCCCGCTGATCGAGGCGACTCCACTGGCATGTAGGCACCATGCATCTCGAACCTCAGGACTTAGATTCTAGTCAACCGCACGAGTACAGATGGGTGTTCATGGAAGCTGTTGCTAAAGGGTCCCCGTAAGTCTGAGCAGCAGAGGTCACTGTCGTCCTCCTTCCCGTGCCTGACGTCTATAGATATCATGTGAGAAAACTAGTGCTTTCTGCGCACACGGATGCCCCAGCTAGGTGGTGCCTCCATATGCGGTTCTCTTCCAAACTCCCATACCGGCCCATACCAGCCAAAATGGCAGATGCGTAAGCGTGGCGGTATCTGGCACACACTCTTAAGCCAACAAGCTGGCCTCCTTACAGCACAGTGCATCAAGCAGAAGCTCATTTCGACGCCTCGCTACTTGTCTGCGCAGTCAGGACTTGCTTCTGCGGTCCTTGCTGCGCGAAGCTTGGCTTGTAACAATGGTCTTGGGCCGCTTCACATGGAAACAAGTCCTCCCCAGAAAGCCTTTCGGATTGCGTTTTCTCAGACACTTGTTTCCGACATGCAATCGCACATTCTGTGGTCTTCATTGAAACCTACCGGACACTCAGACTGGCCATGGCTGGCAGAATTTGAAGGTTCTACGGTCAACGATAAAACGTCGAGGAATTGGCCGAAGCTTCGGCAGCTAAAGGAAAGACATTGAGTCACCCCTGGATCGGCACATGGCGAAACGAGGATTCAGGACATACCGTAGCATGGCAGCGTGGCTAAATCATCCATGTCGACTTTCCGAGCCATCGCACACGTCCATAACGAATTGCCTGCATTCAACGCACTGTGTTCAACCGCCAACACCCAAGAACTAGATGCATAGCTTACCAAGATGGGCCGTGATTTACTTGACAGTTCTGGCACTGTAAGTCTGAATGTGCGGCTGGCGAACATGATCATGCAACCAATCATGCATGTAGTCAAGGTCATGACTCGTGCGGCTGAACATCAAAAGATAAGGAAGCTGGCTGATGGCAATGACGGCATGATGGTGCAAGTGGACATGGTGATGGTGATGGTGATGACGATGATAATGATGATGGATATGATGATGATGGTGCTGCTGCTGCTGTTGATGACGCTTTGGGGATAACAGTCGCATGGCATGGTGATGATGACGGGGACTCGGGGGTGATGCTGGCGAAAAGCATGATGATTGTCATGATGAGTCGTGGCTGAAAGGAAAATCGTCGAAAGGCACTCAGCCCTATTTTCCAAGACTAGCGTGCTTCCGCAACAGTCCTTAGCATTTCGGCGTGTCCTGGGAAACCCTCGACGTCGCCGGCGGCATACCATGCCATACCCTTGCCATTGCGGAAGCTGCTGAAGGTTCTGTGCTCTGACATGTTCTCATCAACTTCTTGGATTAAAGCCGAGTACCCAGGAACCTCTCTTTCTTGCCCGGGGCTTACAGTATTACATGCACGGATTGCAAGGCCATGAGCTTGGCAATTTGCTGGTTCGACTGGAGGCTCTTTGTCACTGATTCGAGCGGGGCAGGTGGGTCTGCACGCTGGAAGACAACAACTGCTGATGCCATCTCAGGATTGGTAATTGACTGGCAAATAAGTTCCGAAAGGGTAGCAATCTGACTGAAATATCACATCCCGCGGTGCACAGGCACGAGTTTGCTCTTTTTGCACTCAGTCTCAAGTAGTGGCCGGTGTTTGTCAAGGTGCGATTGGCTCGCGAAAGATCGCTACAGCAAGATGTTTTTTTAGTGCTCACGTGTGCTATTCGTGCAGTCAGCCATCCCCAGGTACCTTTCCCAACGCCGTCCTATGCGCTTAGCAGGACGTGACATATCACTTTCGTCTCAAAGATCAAGATGTCGGGAGTTTCCGGAATCAGCTGACAAGGTCAAGCTGCAATCTGCACATGCAGTGAAACGCTTGCGAGCTGCAACTCTCAAAATGGTTGAAGCGGGCTGCTCTCTACAGACCTTCTCTCAACCGGGATTTGAGGGGCAAAGTTCGATCTCACGCCTGCCGAGTTCGATCAGCGGCCGAGAATGGTTGCGCGGCTCGGCGGAATGACCAGCCTTCTCGTTGATAACACCAATCAACCACTGCATGCCATCCTCCAATCCACTTCCGTCCTTTGCACTGCAGGCCTTGCCGAGCAACGTTGTGCCAAAGGTGGCTAAAGTGGCTGCAAAGTGCATGCTCTGAGTCTGAACCTGCCTGGATCGTCCAAGTACGGTCAGAGATGCTGGCCTGGTAATTTGATACTCCAGGCACCAGCTATACTATCAAGCAACCCGACTCATCCCAGCGTGCCAAATCGAGTGCTGCCGCGATCTCATCGGCTGGAGTCGCCTTGCAGGGTGATGCAATCACAACGAGCTGGCGTGATCAGCTGTGACATGGCAGGCCTGAAGAAGATCCTGCTTATTGGCAAACACCAGCAAAGGAATTCCTCCAAGCCTACAAACCATGGAACGCACTCGGCTGCAATAACAGCACGACGAAGAGCGAGCATCACGCAAGCGAACACACTCACCGTGCTCAGTGACGGGCTTGTCTTCAGCAAGAAGCTCACGCAGTTCCTGCAGAACACGAGACACAATTGCCACTACCGAAAACAACAGCAATCAACTGCTTGCTGGAACGCGGCCTGTCCGCTCTCCTCAAGCCGTCTCCGGTCAGAACCTCGGCGGGGGGATGTGGAAGCTTCTGTCACCTGCTCCTGCTCTTTCACGACCAGGGAGGTTTTCTTCTGAGAGATGCACTGTCAATCACGTAGACCAGTGCATCTGAGGACTCGAAGTAGTTGCTCCAGTACCTGTTCGGCCAGGCCCGTCACTGATGTCACAGCGACAAGGCAGTAGAATTGCAAGGTGGAAAAACCGAAGAAAATCATCCGTCAGACACACAAAGCGTCCCACGGGCGAATGGTCTTCTGGCCACCGATGTCCCACACGTTCAACTTGAAACCTGGGTGCAGACAGTCCATGCACAGTGAATGTGAAGCCTCCTGCGGCTGCGGCCGTCTTGCACCAGGCTCTTGATGTTGAAGCCCTGTGCTCTTGCTCAGAGGTGCATCAAGACAAACTCTACGGCCCGGGGGGCTTGCCTGGGTGGGCATGATGTGGCTGATGTCCTCCTGCGACCTGGGCAGAGTTTGGCGAAGGTTCCAAGGCCGCCAACAGCGACAGGAAGAAACCCAAGAGCAGCTACCAGTCCGCTATCTTTATCTGCTTCTGCCGCTGCCGCAACTTCGAGGCGACGACGACAAAAACCAGCAAGACAAGCAAAGAGAAGCAGAACAAGAAGACTGTGACGAGAACCACGGCAGCAGGTGCACGTGCCGATTACAGTGATCATAGCACCTACCTATTACATCGACATCGATGACGGCTACTACTGCTTCATGCTGGGCCTGCTCCTGCTGCTGCTGATGTTGTTGCTACTCCTCCTTCTCCTCCTCTTCCTCCTCCCGCTGCTATTGCTTAGTACATTCAGATGAAAGAGTCGCCGCCACCACCACCACCACCACCACCACCGCCAACAACAGCAACAGCAACACCAGAAAGACCAGCAACAATAATCAAAAACCAAATTCTCCACCACGACCCTCACCACTACTCCCTCACACCAGCACCGCCTCCGCTGCTACTACGACGACGATGACGATGTTCTAAAGGTTTGCAAGGACCCCGGCAAGGTCTTCAAGATTGTGGTCTTGCCCGCGTTGTCTAAGCCCAGCATCAAGATGCGGGCCTGGAGATTCCAAGCGGCGGAAGATGCGGTTCGTGAAGTTTGCACACACACGCACCTCTCTCTCATCCTTCTTCATCTTCTTCAAGATGTTCAGCAGGCCCATCCTCGAGACCGGAGACTGCGGCCGGGCAGGTTCCACACGCCACTTTAGGACCTTTCTTTACAGACCTGTGCCCAGCAATGCCGGTCCTGTCAAACCTGCGCGAGCAGCCCTCTCAGAATGCCGGATGCGGTATGTATACTTTGCTGAGCCAGAATTTCCATGGACAGGATGCTATGCTCGATGCTTGCGTGTTATTTACAGCGACTCGCAAGAGCACCGAACTTGTCGAGCTTATATGCTTCCAGGACCGAGCGGTGTTGAAGCGTTGCGTAGAACACCTGATCTGTACAGAGATTTGGCCTCGCGTTATGCATCATGCCTTTGGCAGCGCCGGCCATCAAGTGTCCTCCTTATCCTCTCGTCGGTGAGTCGGGGAGCTGAGCGCTTTACGTCAGCATTCGGCCACGCGATAGCAAGTCACGCAGCCCTCCCACGAATCCAGATCTATCTAGCTATCGGGGCTCTCCAGCCCCATGGTCGACATGCACATGGCTGCAAACTCCGTCTCGCGCGGATTCCTGGGTGAGTCCACGGAGTCCTCAAACTGCTCCCGCTTCCCGGGCCAGGTGGCGCAGATCAGGTCAATCCCGGCATCCTCAGACTTCCGGTGCCGGTAGCGCTCGTAGCGCAGGTTGCGCGCCAGGCGCTGCACGAAGCGCTCGATCCCGTCGTAGCTACGGCGCCTCAGTGAGATGATCGCAATACCATCGGGAGACATCACGCTCTCGATCGTCTCGACAAGCTCTTCCCAGCTTTCGCCGTAAGCAGGCTCGCACACACAGTCAGAGCATAGCACGATGTCTGCAAGGCTCGGGAAGCCGTCTGGCCGAATGACTTGGTTTGGAATCAACTTTTCTTCTCGCCTAGCCTTCACGGGTTTCAAAGCCCGTTCGTTACCTGATAGCTCCAATGCGGCAGACTCCAAGTCATCCAGCCGCCTCATCAGGTTTAGAGCCTCCTGAGCTTCCCATCGCAAAGGAACGACGATGATTGTGCCGCGGCCGAAAGCACCCGCGTGGGAGCGCTGTGCTGGTGGCCGTAGCTCCGTCTTAACAAGGAGAGGTCGATTGCCATACGGTCGCACGAGTTGGACCCAGCCCTCCTTGGGACCAACCCCTGTCAGTCGACGGTAGCGCATCAAGTTCAACTCTTTTCGGAGCTCCAGCTCCTCCACCAAGGCATCCTGAGACAAGCGCTCCTTCTCGATCTTCCCGCCGCGCTCCTTGGTCACTGGGATGCCTTCTGAGCCACCGCCCACGACCCGCCAGACGGCTTGGGGCCAGCCATTCGCAGCACTGTTCTGCTCCATGTCCTCGATGTTTGATGGGAGGTCTGTGGCCACCACACGTGCGCCCAAGGCCGCACAGACGAGGCTCGGCAGACCGATGCCGCAGCCCAGCTCCAAAACCCGGCAACCCGCCCGCAACCAACTCCGATGATTCTCGATGACCTGATCACACACGGCCACACTGGGACCCCAGTCCGAGAAGGAGGAGCCCAAAGGAGGCTGCCGCAGCATCCGAAGCACGTGGTTCTGCGCCACAGGGATCTCGCAAAGCAGCTCAGGGGGCTCCTATTGCGACTTCAACTCCCCACTCTGCAAACCACTTAACTATGCACTATATGGCCCGAGGTTTCGCGGCAGAAAAAGCTGGGACTAGAAGCTTGCTCCTCGTCTTGAAGCTCCCCCTGGCTTCCAATTTGCTCCAAAGTCCTCTCGTTCTGCTCGGCGAGGTCCTTCTGAGCCTCCCCCCAGCGAAAGAAAAGGTGCGAGGAAGGGCTGGTCGTCGGTGGCGTGATCAGCTTCCCGCTGCGGTCCCGCGGTAACCTCTGAACCTCGCTGGCTCCCAGGCGCCGCGCGCGGGGCTCCTTGGAGCCCAGCCTTTCCTTGGAGCCCGGCCTTTCCTTGGACATTCGCTCAGCTCTGGAAGCTTTCGCCCGCCATGTGCAGAGACTGCAGAGACTGCAGGGAAAAGCAGGAGGAGTGCGAAGCGACTCTGGGGCTCAGGGAGAGGCACACGTGAAACTCTTGGGGGGCTGCGCTCTCACTGCGAATATTCTGACTCGTCTCAAGGCTCCCCTGTGAAGATGAAAAGCAGCAATGGCCGTAGCAGCGCCGCCTTGGCTTATCGCTTGGGCATCGTCTGGCAGCAGCTCTTTTTCGATGCGCGGCATCTGCTGGATGACTGCCGGGACAATCTGAGATGAGCTCTTGATTTCCGATTTGATGGCTGATTTCGACACAGCTTTTTGCTTGCCCCGGTGACATCCGGCATTCGCACGACCATCCGAGACAGTCGTCGAGTCTCCCATAACACTGCCGGAGGTCAAGCTCATTGTAAAGAGTGGCTCAGGAAGGCTCAAGCCGCAGTATATAGGCGAGCTTCTCCACCAGCAGTAATCCCGGCACAGCATTCACCCCTGCTGTGATCCCGAATTGGGGCTATCCAGGATAGCCCTCTGGCAGCACGCTAAAGCGTGCACGGCCCCTCCCTACACGAAGACGCTTCATCTAGCTCTGCCCGATTTCACTCACCAGACTTGAACAGGTCAGGAGAGCGATCAGGTTGGCTGCACAAACGGACCTCATCCGCACAGAACGGACGGTTTTCAAGTGTCGAGTCCGACCCACCGTGTGTTGGCCTAGCGCCTGCTGGAAACACTAAGCTGGGAGCGTGGTGAAGGCATTGCCCGCGAGATCGCCGAGCAACTTCTGCGGGAAGTCCGTGTCCTTGAGGTCCTCCGGAAATTGAATCGCAAAACAGAGTGGAACCTTAGGAGTGCAGAGGCTAAGGACGGTTTCCTCTGCGAAAATGCCCTGCAGTGCGAGCTTCTCGATGCCAAGCACCCAGCGCTTCCGACTCGAGTGCCAAAGAATCCCTGGAACTGGGCCAAAGCCAAGCTACTTGCTGACATGCTCTTGTCGCGCAACGAGTGCGCAGCCGCGAGGCCAAAGGACCACACCCTATGACCTTCAAACCTAAACTCTTCATCGGAAATAGGATCTTTCTGTCGGCCTGGGAGGATGCAGGTCGCGTAGTTCTGTCGGTCCCTTCGGATCCGTGCTCCTGAATAGCAAACGACACGCGGTGCACACTCTTTGGAATGAAGGGACTGGATCTCTAACAATCACAGTCGCAGAGGAGGGGAACGGAGAGAGGGAGAGGAAAGAACATTTCGAATTGACTTTCAATGACACCTGACGGCGTCGCCGTTAGAGCAGTTGTACACATCAACATCAGCCAGTTGATGGTGTGAAAGACAATAGCAAAGCTGGCGCCTGGCACTCGCTCCACACTTTGGGAGAGTTCCCAGAGCATAGGGAATGCACGCGGGTCCTGCCATTGACTGCATTGCTCACCCTTAGCAGCCTTAGCAATCTTGTTCGGCAGCATTCCGATGTCGCAAGCCGCAAGCAAGCACAACGGGGGGCCTTACCCTGTTCGTTCATGACATCCAGACCTCCAAGTACAAGTACGCATCTCACGGAGGAAAAGCAAAGAAAACGGGGGCCGAGCATTTCAAATTCAAGAGCTCCTTCTCGCGATCGTTCAAGACCTCGCCAACACGACTCAAGCGAAGAAAAACTCGCTCTGCGTGCAGTGCACTGGGTACTTCCATGTCCGAGCTGCCGACCTGGAGGAAATCTGCATCACGAACAGCAGTGTATGGTCGGTCATACTGGTAGTCATGCCTTCCCGAGCAGTCTCTCGAAGTCTCGACCCCATTCCGACTGTTTTTGGCGAGGGGCCCAGTTCGGTGGGTGTCGTACTTCTGCGTCCAGTCTTGCTTTGCCCCAGCCTTTTTCTTCACGACCTGGGTGCAAAAAGCCTGAAGATGCTCCTGCAGACCTCAACAGCAACAGCGCCTGTGCTGCTCGGTTCTGCGACTTCACGAACTGGAAGTGCGCACGGACCTGGCACAGAGCCAGGGCAAAAGGCCTCAACAGCCAGGCAAACCGAGCGCCGGGCCGCTGGATGATCGTCGTCGAGCATATAGTCCTGAGCAGGACGGCGGCAGCAGAAGTCTCAGTCACGAGCTTCTACCATCCTCGAAGTGAAGTGCGCAGGGCTCTTCCAAGGCGACCAGAATATCATTGAATTTCGGCTCCACCTGCGCACGCGATGAATTTTAAGCCAAAGATTTCTACTCGCTGGAGATTGCAAGCAGGAACATCTCCAGCAATGAACTGTGCGCCGTTACGTCTCCTCATTCCCGGTGATACGCTGCCAGGAAAAGGGCAGTGATTGAAATCTGCTGTGCCGGCTTGCAGATGGTGGAACACAAGGCGCAACGGCTTGCACTTGCGTGGGTGTTTACAGATGTTCAAAGCATCATTTCCCTGCTAGCGCTGTTCCGGACCTAACTGAGGCTAAGTTCTTAAGAAAAGCGTCTGCTCATGCCTTTTTCACTCCCTTAGCCGGCGACTGTCATGCCCCGGCTCTGCTCCTTCCACCTTCCTACTCCTGAACCCCATCGGTAGGCAAAATCGCCATTTTATTCGCCGAGGCAGTGGCAAGCACATCTGGAAGCGCAGCTGGGACCCGCACCGTCTGGCTGAGCGCTTCGGCACGCTGCCGAAGGGTCTCGGCTTCCTCCTGCGTCCGCGGCGCCTTGTCCGACAACCGGATTGCCCACATCCAAATCCTGCAAGGCGCCAGGGGGACCATGTTAGGTTACGATACACAATGCGCGGCACGCTTCCGGGACTGGCAGCAGGCACTACGTCTGCACGTCTATAGTCTGCGAGTTCTCTTGCAAACCACACCGCTCTCAAGCTCAAGCCTGTGTCGGATTTGTGGAACAAAATAGTCGCAGCCTCAGAAATTGCAAGGAAACTCAGGCACAAGCAAGTCGAAGAGATCTACAATACTTCAGCTGTGCTGCTGTTCAGGAGGCGGTACCCAGCAGCGTAGCCACGCGCCTTGCGATTGATCAATGGTGGCATTTGCTAACACATCCTTCAATAAGCGTGCCTTCAGACCCTCCATGACCAAGTCCACCTCATGCAAGTGCAGTGGTCGGTCCGGCAGCAGCTCAGAAAAAAAGAGCGAGAAGCCTGCTTGAAGCCGACGCTGTTGCCCTTTAAAATGGCCCACACATTCCTTAGTGCATTCATTCGTTCACCCCTTCCTCTAACGGCAGTGTTCTTCTGCCGTGTGTGCAAGGGCACCCGTCTTTTCCACCTATCGGCGACGTTTTGGATGCGAACAGGAACGACACTAACACCAAGAGGTCGGCACATTTGGTTTCTTCCTGCTGCGCTTCAAGCTCCGCAGAGCTGACACGTGAAACTGCTGCAGAAGAGTCTCTCCAGGAGAATGAGTCGAGGTCGGTGCCTCTCCGCCTGACACAGTCTGACACTCAGTCGCCCATGATGACCATGCAGCATTTCCATTGCAACTGCGGTCTCTGCATAATCCAGAACGCCGCGCAGAGTTGCTCCAGACTGGCCCATTTCCTGCAACCTCAGCACGAAATCTGACAGCCCACACAGATTGATGGGCCGCCAAGAACATAGCGCTTTCCGGTAGGAGTTCATCAATGACAGGTCCTCTGCCAGCATGGGCCCCAGACTTGAAAACCTCACTTCCTTCAAAGCGTTCAGCTGGCGCCGGAGGCCTTGCAGCTGAAGCCGGCAACCAGGATGTCCACGTCGTCCGGAACTGGCTGCGGCTTTTCGGAGAGGACCTTGCTGTAATCATGTAATCTCCACTGCAACGAGCTTTAAGCTCCCCATGCCCCATGCAAATTAGACGAAGATGTGTGCAATCTCTGCTTCCTGCCTCCCAAGCTCGCTTCCGGCCCATTTGCCTTCACGGAGATCGCAGGGCTTTATATCAGATGAGGAGGGTGAGTCTGCAACACGCCAAGCTCACACGCAGTCTTTGAAGAGCAGCGGGCACTCCGGAAAGTTGGCTTTCAAGAACTCCTTCCAGATCCGATCACACCCGGCCAAGCTGTGACTGAGACTCTGCTTCCCTTCGCTTTGGGCCCGGGGTCCGGCCTGCTTCTTCACATCGTACTCAACAGAGAAAGCCTCGCTTGGAGCACCAGAGCACCCAAGCCGCTTCCGAGCATTCAGGGACCCCAGCATGCTGGAAGCTCAGTTCGGACCCATGTGGCCGGAGGGCGCGCTCCAAGGCCCTGTGCCAGAAACGCAGAGTGCTGCCCAAACCGACGTGAGGACTTTGGAGCCTTGCCACCAGCACAGGAGCATCTGTGCCAGAGCACATGGTTCCAACCCGAAGCACCTCGGCGCCGAATCCGAATCCACGTCCTTATCTCCTGTAGCCTAGTCTTAAGTTTAATGGGGAACTTTCAGCATGTTTTGTTTGCACTTCTTGGAGCTGCGGAATGCAACTCGATCTCATGAGCCACACTGCATGGCCATGCTTCCAGCTACGGGGCCGGACCTTCCTCCGCCGAAGGACTTCCGGAAGCGCAGATGCACTCTGGAACATCTGCAGCTTGTCAAGCCTCAGGTTGATCAGACTCTCTCTGTCTTGAAAGCCTGACCATGCCATGCGATTGAATGCAGGAATCGGCACTCGAGATCAAGCTACATTGATGAATTGCGTGCCCCTGCTTTGTGTTCACCGAGGGTGGTTGCGGAAGTGACAAGATGTGGCAAGCAGACGTGGAAGCAGTGTGAAGCCCCTCAGCGGCTTGAAAAAAGGCGCCACACTTTCTTTGGCAGACAAGAGCTGTGCAGCTGTCCATGTCCGCGAACTCTTCATGCTGCACATGCAGTCATGCTGCCAAGGGGTAAACCTTCAGTCTCCACGGACAACAAAAAGACAGGCCGGGTTCTCAGGTGAAACACAACACAAAAAATACCCCAAAGAAGGAAAGCTGTCTTGCCAGCATGGTTCTTTCAGAGACCTATACAATGCTCCGATGCCTTGTTCACGCAGGTGCTGTAACACAGAGAAGCGCGTTGTATTGTAAATACCATTACGCAAAGACATTATGCATTGATTTATCTGCTTTCGGTTTTTGCTCGAAAACGCGTCAAAATACGAAAAGGGCAAAGCAGCTGCAAAGGAAAAATTGCTTTCAGGCCGTGTAGACACAGTAAGAGTTCTGTTGCGCTTTATCACCGCAACGGGGTGTGTCGGGAAGAGCTAAAAATCGAGAAATTTGACCGTGTTGGATGCTTTTGCAACAACAAGAGCTTAAGGGAGTCACAACGTGCACAAAAATCGCAAGAGAATTTGTGCTGGAAAAACCATGATGCGGAGATCACGGGAATACATGACAGCCTAATGTATTTGCCGGACCCTCAAAAATGCGGAATTTGAGGCTTTCATGTTGTTTCAAGCGCCTGGAAGAATCACACAAACATAAATCCAGGGCGAGTCCACACAGCTTGAATGTTAAACCAGTGTCTTCCTCGATCGGCACTACAACTTTTGCTGCCCCTCCAGATTTCGACGGAACCTGCAAGGGGGAACAGTTGCTTCATCATTATGGCTTTAGCAGACACCCCTGACGCTCCTCAACAACCCCCGAATCGCATGGTGGCGGGGCCGAGGGGTTTAACCGCCCCTCCGGGGCCCTGTAGGTAGGTAGAGAGAGGTAGGTAGAGAGAGAGAGAGAGAGAGAGAGAGAGAGAGAGAGAGGTGATGTCCTGAGTCCTTGCACGCCAGGTTGAAGAAAAACTTTGTGGGCCGCATTTTTTGTGCCCTTGCACAGTGCCGCGACAAAAGGGCATCGAACCATGGCTCTTTGCCTTTGGCCTTCTCACGCCGCGCCGCTGGAAATCATAAGATTGGTTGTGCACGTGGGTCTCGAGGCTGCAGACGTCTACTAAGTCTGCTACTGAAGAAGATTCGCTGCAGAACATCCCCCTCCCCAGCACGGATTCGAGAAGGCCCACAGGTTAGTAAATGCATCTTAAACAACATGCCAACACCTCGCTCTCAGAAGCCAGTAGTCGGAATTAAAACCAACGCGATGCTGAAGCACCACTCAGCATTGATCCTTTTCAGAACAGAATCATCAGCGGTCATCGTCGTCGTCGTTGTGACCGTCGCTGTGGCGGCATTCAGCATGAAACCACACGCAGAAAAAGGAGAAGAAAACAATTTTTTATTAAAAAACAAAAGCTCGACAAGACGCGACTCCAACGGCGACATCAGCAACCGCCACACTCGCAGCGAGCCACAAACGAAAAAACGGACAACGATCTACAGTCCCTTCTAGGTGTGGTCATGTGCAGTCGACCGGAAGGGTTAAGGTCCCGGCATGCAGGACACCATATCGACCAAAGTGCGGGGAGCTTTGGCACGTCGCTGCTGCAGCTCCAGGAGCCTGCCAGTGTTCCGGGTCCCATGGCCGAGGGGTCCGGGTCCGAGCTTGGATCTTTGCCTGGACTCGTAGAGTTCTTGCTTGTCTTTTGCAGTCGTCGAGGCCTCCAGAAAACTCCAAAATGCTTGCCTGTGCTTCACATCATCTGAGCCTCCCACCCTCGTCCGAGGCTTTCCAGCTTCACAGAATCGGCAGCAAGGCCCAAAGGACTGGCCCAAGTGGCTGGACAGGCGGCCTTGAGCACTCGAAACGTCTCAGAGAGTTTGGACGCGTCTCTCAGGCTCGCGCTGGCGATAGCTTCCTTGACCACCAGGCTTCCTGTCAAGCACGGCCCAAAGCCTTAAGGGACTAGGAAACTGAACTAAGCCAGGGGCCCATCGTCTCCACTGCCTTTTTCATGAGCAGGAGCTCACACTTACCTAGTCCTGGTCCTGGTCCTAGTGGTCCTAGTCGCAGAGAGGCAGAGGTCGGCCCCGGGCTGCACTTCCGGCAAGCAGCTGCCGGCACTCGAATGGACTGGGCAGGTAGGCATCGTGCACTCACAATCTGCTTCTGCCCAAAGCACTCTAGAGCCTCGTCGTGCCAGAATCAGATGGGAGAGTGCAGGCAATGACATTTCCAGCCGCGTCACTGAACCTGCGATGCGACTCCATAAGAAAACGCAGCACGTGCCGGCCTCTGGCTTCTTGGCTGAGGCAGGCATGGCTGAGGCAGACACTGCCACTTGTCACCGGTGTAGCTCACCTGACGGATCAGGGGGTAACCTGCAATTCAAGTCGCTGCTGGCTCAGTGCCTTCACCTGCTCCGAAATGCCGAGGCAGGACACCTTCACAGCACTGTGCGTACGTCGAGCTTGCAGGTTGCAAAGCGCACGTGGATGAAGTCTCAAGCCTTCGAGAAAGACCTCGGCTTCTGGAGGTTTTGGCTCCGGAATGAACAAAGTGTAGCAGTGTAGCACAAGGGGTACAGGCTGGCCATCAGCGACATAGAGGCCATGGAGCGACGGCATCTCCTCTCTCAAGGCGAGGCAGTCTTCAAGGCAAACATCGCACACCACACGGGCCTTGACTTCCAACTCCCAGAGACGCAGCTGCCCCTGGACTTCTGCGAACTGGCCCAGTACCACGGAAGAGTTTCTGGCACCTTGGCGTGGCTGGCAAGCACCGCCTCCAGGTCCTGCGCCAAAGACAAAAACTCCCTGACCTCACTGGCTCTGCAGAGAGAGACAGAGACAGTCTGGTCTCCTTTGCCCGTGCCGCGGCTGGCTTTGACATCCTGGCTAGACCAAACGGGCAGCACAGTGGTTGCCCCAGGCTCCAAGCTCCGGACTTCTCGAGCACCTCACAGGAGACGCCGGGACAGAGAGGCTCAAGCGCAAGTGTCGTCGGGCCAAACACATGCCCAGCCTCGCGGTCCCTCGCACCCGCGACCTCGTGCTTGCTGAGGAAAACCTCAGCGGCTGACAACGTCGTCTTGTTCTGTATGGGTTGTTAGGCTCTTCCCCTGCCTTGCCGTCGGCACGTTTGGCAGTGACCTGAGATACTAATAGATGCAGCCGCAGTGCCACTCACGCTATCGAGGCCAGGCGGGCCCGCCTGGTGTCCGGAGAGTCGATACCGGACGGTCACTGTCCATGTCTCGTCCAATCCCCAATCTTCGATGATGCGCCTCAAGACCAGCGGCATCCAGCGGCCACAAACGCACTCCATTTGCCGTTCCAATGGGATTCCGGGAGAGCCTTCGCTTCCTCTCACGAACCTCCTCGTCCACGTACACGAGCACGAGGACCACGGCATCTGAGGCCAAAGCCTATCAGAGCGCTCTGCTGTCAGCTGCGAAGGAAAGACAATGCATTTTGGGACTATGCCTCAAGCTGATCTGAGACGATGGGAAGCACTGACCCACTCTTCAGCCGCACGCCTTGGAGACGCCTTCACAAGCAAAATGCTCGCGACTGTACCCATACCAGCATCCGCATCTGAGTCCCTTACCACTCGCCGGCCCGGAGTGTGAGCTCGCTCCTGGCCACCTCGAAATAGCAGGGTCAGGGACAAAGGCGAAGAAGTCTACACACCATGATTTTAAAACAGGATGTGAAGCTCATCTGCTCCAAACGGACAGGGACCAAAACGGACTCGGAGCGGAACCTCCTGCTTCTGCTGATGCTTGAGACCCATGGCCTGTCACATCGCTAACCCTTGCACCCTCAGGAGTGGCGTTCAGGACATTTCAGGACACTTGCTCACCGTGCCTTACGCACCTTAAGAGCACTGTCGTTCGCATCCTGGAGCCACAAAGGAACCGGGACAGATCTTACCATGCCTGCACGACGCCTCTCCCTCAGCCTTGCGCTTGACACCATTTTTGGCACCTCATCTTTAGGCAACTCCCAGTGCGTCCGCTCGTTACATGGGGACTTTACCCAGCCACAAAGCCTCGTCCTGCACCCTGGCCTCTTCGCGCAACTTCCTCCATGTAACCAACAGTGTCTCAAGTCTCTCCTAGAATGGCTCTGCACCTCCGCGCTGCGAGCGACAATGGGCATGGTGCCTTTTCGGCTGGGACCCGACCGGCCTCCTGCCCGGCCGGTGAGCCTCAAAAGAAGGCACCGGTGAGACTTGCAAGTGCTGGCGACCTCTTCTGCCAAGACGCTGCGAATGCACACGCTCTGCAAGCTCGTAGTTCTCCTGCGACAAGGCGCCGGCGCTAATTCGCGCGCTTCCCTGCCCCTGCCAAATTGCCAAAGCCGTGCGCCTCCCGCACGGCCTTGGCTAACTGCTTGCGCATGCCCGCCTCAGGTGAAGCAGCGCACCCAAGAGTCCTCTTCATAATATTCCTGCCTCGCTCCTCTCGACGTGTGCCTCAGGCTCTTTTTCAAGTCTGCAGGAGTTCGCTGAGTGTCGGGCCGCGGGCCTCCTTGGCTGACATCATCTGCTGATGCGCGGCCTTTGCCTCCTCGGCCTGGCGCTTCGCCTGAGAGCAAACCCAAGCCGCCTTATAGGCTACAAAAGGGAAGGACTCGGAAGCCGCTTCCGGGCCTGGGCCTCGACCGCCTGCAGCGCCGCTTCCTTGCGGAGGGCGCCCCCGAGGCGAGCGCCGGCGTTTCAAGTTTATACCGCAGCGGGTGTGGCCTTGCTGTGGTAAAAGTCCGTCTTGCCACCGGTGCCAAGAACCTGAGAAAGAGAAGCAAGAGGAAACAGCAGCAGTAAGGCTGCTTCGGTTTTGCTTTGGCTGGCCTTGATCAGTCGGCCGTCCTTCCCGAGCTTCACAGCCCACCCGGCCGGCAGGAGCCACTCGGCAGCCAGCTGCTTCGCCTGCGAACTCGCGACACTAAAGGACTCCGCGCTTTCTCTCCCTCTCCCTCTCCCTTTCCTGTTCCACGATCCGACGATCCATGAGGGAATACTTCTTCAGGGCCAAGGCATGCACCTGCGTCTGACAAGGAGAGAAAGGCTGTGAGGCTTTGCGTGTCTCTTCCATTCCAGGGCGGGGAGTCCAGCCTTTGGCTCCGGAAACCTGAAAAGCGTACTCGGCTCATTCACTCAGCAGAAGAGGAAATGTACTGCTGAAGTCAAAATTGTTGAAGTTTTTGTTGACGATTTCTTGAAGTGGGCTCCACCTGAGCGAAGCCTTACTACAGAATGCACGCACAAAAAACACGTGACCTGCGAGGCGTGACAATGCTGAAATTTCGAGCATCTGCTAACTCGCGGGTTTGGCCAACATGGCATGGTACCGCAGCCGTGGCTGCATGTTAGTTGTCAACTCTGCGTTTGCGAGTTCAGTCCATGTGCAGGTGAGCAGTCTCCTACATACATACATACATGCATACATACATACATACATACATACATACATGCATACATACATACATACATACATACCCGCATGCATATACACGTACGCACATACATACGTACGTACCTACATCCATCCATCCATCCATCCATCCATGCGTGCATGCCTGAGCGACTGAGTGAATGAGTGCGAGAGTGAGTGAGTGAGTGAGTGAGTGAGTGAGTGAGTGAGTGAGTGAGTGAGTGAGTGAGTGAGTGAGTGAGTGAGTGAGTGAGTGAGTGAGTGACTGAGGAGTGAGTGACTGAGTGACTGAGTGCGGGAGTGAGTGACAAAGTGCGGGAGTGAGTGACGGAGGGAGGGACGGAGAAATCAAAGGAACAATCTACACAATCCCGAGCAACCCAGATCAATTACTTTCCCCAAGCACACACACTCAAGCCAGCATTCCTTGATGCGACCGAGCCAGTCCTCAGTGATTCGGCATCGTCGCATTCATAAATGCATCGTGAACATTCAGGGGTAAATTGGGCTCATGTCACTTAACACAGTCCCTTGATCCTACTTCAGTCGAGGATCATTCAAACATTCATCCAATACACAACTACACGGCAGCATTCGCGAAGCGATCACAAAACATTCGAAACAAACAACATTGCCACAGGCCATTGGTCTCATTCCGGACGTTATGGCGCGACTCGGTCGACATTCGAGTCGTTGCAAAAGTCAATCCGAGAACTTCAGTCTCTGCAATCCACAGAAAACATCCACTCAACATTCCAACAAAAACACTTCACATTGCAATGATCCGTGGTGGGAGTTGGGACGCCAACTCCTGCACCTGCATCTAAATTCGTTCTTGCATGCAGCTGCTTACACGACACTCTTGACATGGCAGCTATGCAGTCGATGTGAGCTTTGAGTCCTGTAACCTAAACAGCAGCAAATCAAAAAAGCGAGAGAATCAGAAAAGTGAGACGAACGCAAAGAGCCACATCACCGCCGACATTCCAGATCAGCACTCGTACTCCATAGAAACATGCTCCCCACCAACACAAATACGCGAGTTGCTTTTCCTTAACGCGGTACATGCCTGGCTTATCCACACCACCCTGATAGCCCCAGCCCAAGCCAATTGACTGCTAGGTTTGGGGACATGCTTGGCCCCTGTGCTCCTTCAGAATATCCGGATACACCTGCAGTGAGAAAGGCCACAAACCGAGATCTGCACTCTCCGTCTTTGTGAGCTGCCCAGAAGTCGGCAAACTTAGCAACAGCAGTTGCCCGGTCCTGGGCCAGCGAGACATAGGAAGAAAAGCACTCCACTGCCAATGAGGCTCGTCCTTGTGCGACACGTTGGTGTACGTGGTCTTGACGATTTTGAGCTGAGCATGCAGTGGCATCGAGACTCATACAAATTCAGAGAAGACGAGACGACAAAAAAACACGTCGGCTGGACATACTTTTCTGCGGCCATCGCGTCGGGACTCTTGCCATGTTCTTCGACCAGCTCCTACCGGCAGAGAAATGCAAGGCGAGGGCGCTCGGCTCCGTGGTGCCACTGCCGGTCCTTCATGGCCTGGAACATGGCATTGGCTTCCTCCTCTCGCCTGATTGGCTTTTCCTGACACACGGCTCGCCTCTGACCTCTGGCTCTGGCAAGCTCTGGTTCCATGCCGGCTGAGTCTTTAACCTCTTCCGAGTCCTGCTTGCATTGCAGCTCAAACCTTGCGAAGAAAGGATCGCAGTGGACAGGGCTCGCATGACAAACATTCCCAAGCAACTTCGTCAGGATCCGTGGCCACATCGCCCACTCCTTGCCAGCAGCATGTCCGCACTGTGGACGAGTGGCCGATGTCCCCACCTCATCCGTTGCGTCTGGCAGGAGTGCAACGCTCAGCGCCACCTTGAAGGACGAGTTTGTCTTCGCCAAAACGAGTTTGATAAGGTGCTCTTTAAACACGAATACTCATGGACCGCATGTATCGTTCGAACAATGAGACCTTGTGGAGGGTAAAATTCCACCCTGAAGCAATCTGAGGAAGCTTTCATGCTGTTTAGTGACCGGCCGCTGTCCGCGGGCATCGACGTCCTGGTGAACCCATGTGGTGAAGATGTAGAAGTCTGCGGAGCACTAACGGAGCGTGCGAGAGCCTCGAGAAGGTATCCGTCTTCGTCGACCTTCTCCTGGAGCTCCTCACGCCTAGGCCCGGGCTTTTCTGAGGCTGCAGGCTGCTCGGAGCTGGCGGTGTGGCCAGTTCGTCGTTGCATCGGCCATAACCAGCTCCAAAGGCAAATCCACCTGGCACCATCTGTAAAGGCCTGAAGATCTCCGTGGACAACTCCCGCGGTACACCTGCAGGTCGTCGAAATGCTCTTGCTCCTGGCGTCGTGCGCAAGGCCCGGCTGCTTCGGCGCTAAACTCATCAAACAAAGAAGCCACTGTTGACAAATGGCCGATGGCGTCGCCTAGGCAAATCACTACGTTGACAGGCTAACACCTGGCCTTTCCCGTCTCTCTGTCGAAGTCCGGAGTGAATGTCGTCTGCAGCTTGTACGGGTCTATCGCAGAGACGTCCTTACAATGGTGGCTGTTGCAGGAAAGATGCTGTCTGAGTCCCTACTGCAGCGCAGTGGCGGTGAGGTTCTCGAAGCCGCCGTTTTCACGAAACTTCCTGACACGAAACACTTCCGAATATCAGTCACAGAGGCGCCTGCAGCATTTGCTTCGTAGGTTGCCTGAGATATAAGATCGCCGAGTTCAAGTAGCCGTTGCACTTTGCCTGATAGAATGGAGTCGCGGGAAAAGAGAAAACTTACCGGACAAACCCTGCAAGCACAGCTGGTGAAACTGAGCAAAGCGGCATTCTCAGGATCCATTCGCACTAGGCGTTGGAACTCGGAAGTCGCCATATCCCAGGCCTTTTTCTTGTGCAGCCTGATAGCTGAACAACGCTTGGGGCTTCCATTCAGAACTTCAGACGAGGCATTCTATGTGGGCCAGGCTCCATCAGACGTCTCACGCCATTCATGTATGGATACCCCTGGAGCAGCTGCCACAACTAACAACCCGTGGCAAGAAGCCTTGCTTTCCAGCTGGAGCCTGCTGGAAAAAGGTCGCCAGCACACGTGGATATTGCGCGACGTCCTCTTGCGAAGCGTCTGGGACATCATCGTACCTGCATGCCAGAACTCAAGCTTTTCACTATACTCGATGCTCCAGTCTGTGAGCTCAATGGGCTCACGAAGACCACTCGTGTCCTCCTGCACCGCTCAGCATTCGCTCCAGCTCCCTGCCCAGACACGGGGGTCGCGGTCGCCCTTCTTGCCATGATCAGACCTACACTACTCTTCTGACTGTTGTCTGAATCGTTCGTTTGTGACACTATGTGACACTGCTCGAACTTTAGCTCGAAAATTCAAACTTTGGTAGGAACAGGTGCCTGAAAAAACATTTCCACATACTGGGAGACATGGGTACTTTAAAATGCTGTAAATCATTCAGTTCAAAAAGATTAGAAATTCAGGAGGCATGGACCACCTGCTGTTCCGTCCATTACTGCAACAAGCCGGAACTGTACGTTTGCACAAGCACACAAACTCGATCGAAAATACACATTGCCGTCACTCTTCTTTTCATGTCCGCAACATGCCATGTGGAGACTGATGCCTGGACTCCATAGAGTAAAGGCACAATGCTTGCGCCCGCCAGTTCATGTTGTGATTGCTGTTGCCCGCGGCTTCTCAACGCATAATGCTGCAACATGGAGCGATGGGTCTCGGCAGACACACTTGTATTTGTGCGTGCAAAGTGTTCCAATAAGGGCGAGACGACATTGTCCATACACCAAAACATGATATCGAAACTTGTGCATCCATGATTCAAGATACACACCAGACCGACTTGGCGTGTTCCTTTTCGTAATTCCGCCACATCTTCTCGACTCGTGCGCAGATTTGCGCAAACTTTGAACTACAGCCGACATGATACGGCTGCCACATGCTGCCATGGGGGTCTTCGACTAGTCCCCGTGAGTCCTTCCCATGCCTCCCTGGGTCGAGGGATTGCAATGGCACAAAACCCAGAAACACAAGCTTACGCTCGGAAAACCTTGAATCGGAGACATGTTGGGACAACGGCATGCTGCGACATATCACCAAACTGGTTCAATTTCCAGTAGATGACAATCAAGCGGTGATTTTGTAAGTCCAGGGATAAATGAAGACCGACCATAGCAATCTGGAGGCATAGTTGGCCGCAACAAGGAATGCGTGGAGGGCATGTCCAACCTGTCCAACAATTTCTACAACTAGAAGCGCAGGGACTTCGTTGAGTCAACAGAGCAGCGCCCTTGCTGTAAAGCGAGCGGCGGAACGGTTTTTTTCTTAACGCTGGCGGTCGCCGGTCTCATTTGCTAACGTTGGCTCATCTTTATTGGTTGCAAATACTGCAAAGTGCGGCATTTGCGACTGTTTTCCATCAAGCTATTGGGGAATCGCAATTAGCAGCGTGGCGTTTTGCCGCAAGCTATTGGGTGATTCGAATTTCGAGGCTCCTGTCTTGTGTCCAGTTATTGGGGAATTGCAATTAGCCGGGTTTCGTTTTTGCCCAAGCTATTGGAGGAGTGCGAGTCTCTTGTGTTGTGTCAAATTTTCGGGAAATTACAATTTGGAGGGTCTTGCGTTATTTCAAGCTATTGGGGAATTACAATTTGCAAGGTTTTGCGTTGTGTCAAGCTATTGGGGAATTCCATCTTGTAGGGTATTGTTTTGCCCCAAGCTGTTGGAGGAGTGTTCCTGTCTTGCGTCAAGCTATTGGCGAATTACCATTTGCAGGATTTTGCGTTGTGTCCAGCCATTGAGGACTTCCAACTTGTAGGGTATTGTTTTGCCCCAAATTACTGGGGGAGTGCAATTTCGAGGCTCTTGACTTGTGTCAAGCTATTGGGGAATTACCATTTGCAGGAGGGGGCTTACGTCAAGATATTGGGAATTACAATGTCCAGGGTCTTGCTTTGCATCAAGTTTTGGGTAAACTTGCAATTTGCATGTTTTTGCGTTGTTTCAATCAAGCTATTGTAAGTTCCAACTTGCAGGGTATTGTTTTGCCCCAAGCAATTGGTTGATTGCCATTCATGTCATAATGTACCTTAAACTCGCCCCTCATGCGGCGAGACCGGTTCATCACATTTCTTAAGCATGCCCCCTCATTTCGCGATCCAGGTTCATCATGCATCTTAAACACGCCTTTTCATGTGGCAATTCCGGTTCATCATATATCTTCAGCGTGCCCCCTCCTATGGCGCTTCCCGTTCATCATAATATATGCTAAACACGCTCCTCATGTGGCGATGCCGGCTTAACATATACCTTAAACACGCCTCCCCTCCCCCCATTGGGCGAGTTGTTGTTGTTCTTGTTGTTGTTGTTGCGGTGGTTGTTGCTTTTTGTTGTTGGTGGTATTGCTGTTGGTGTTGTGTAGTAGTAGTAGTAGCAGTAGTAGTAGTAGTAGTAGTAGGAGGAGGAGGAGGAGGAGGAGGGGCACGGTCCACATTTGACGCCGCGTTTTGGTGCTAATGTGGTTGCGTTTTCCTTGGTTCTTACAGAGATTTCAGTAAACCAGAGGCAAGCGTGAGGAGGGTAGGATTTTGAAGATTTTTAGAGTTTAGATAGTCTTATCATCCGCATCATCATCATCATCTAAAGCCATCATAGCCATCATCATCATTACCGTCATGGTCATCGTCAGCATAATCATCATAAGAAATCAAGAAAACTCTGAAGCTCTTTCGGCCCACTCAGTTTGGAGTCAGGCGCACTGTCCCCTGCACTGCCCTCAATACGA